TATATATATATATATATATATATATATATATATATATATATATATATATATATATATGTATATATATATATACACACATACACATATATATATCTGAAATAGCGATCGTAACCCTGGTCGGACTGCGAGGGTCGCGGCGCAAGGCAGCCTCTATCGGGCCCAGAGAAAGAAGAGGGTAAGAAGCAATCACGGTAATGCAGCGGTGATGGGTGGATAGGGAGGAAGAGAGAGAGAGAAGAAGGGGGAGAGGGGAGAGGCTACGAGAACCATGGTGGGGGGGGAGGGGGGAGAGCTGTGGTGGGGGGGGGGGTGAAGGCGGGATGTATGATTGGGGAGCATTTTTGGGGAAGGGGTAGATGAGCGGTCGGAAGAAGGGTGGGGCGAGAGAGAGAGAGAGAGAGAGAGAGAGAGAGAGAGAGAGAGAGAGAGAGAGAGAGAGAGAGAGAGAGAGAGAGAGAGAGAGAGAGAGAGAGAGGCAGAGAGATAGAGAGAGGCAGAGACAGAGGGAGAGAGACAGAGAGACAGAGACAGACAGAGACAGGCTCACAGAGACAGAGACAGAGAGAGAGGAAGGGGGGTAGATAGATAGATAGATGGAGAGAGAGAATAATTTCTTGGCCTGTTAAACACGTAATTCCTCTTTTTGATTCCACTCTACGGTGCGACACTATCGCCAAAAATCTAAACAGAGTTTTATAGGCCTACAGATAACAAACTTTTGCATAGCCTGAGTTATACCTTGCACGGCCCCACAGTGCATTGTACGACACATGTTAAAGATAAATAAATATATGAATTAATCAAAATACATATAAATAAAGAGAATAGAGTAATCACATTTTTATAGTAATTTACACAGGCTATCACAAAAAGAAAAGAAAAAAAGAAAACCGAGAGTTTAACGAAAAGATTTTAAAAATAACGGAATTCAAGATGGCGTCGCCCTTGCTACTGCTCTCCATAAAGGTGAAATCTGATATTTCAGCCCCGGTTTCAGAATACTGATATACACACCAAAGTGGCAAAATAAAACTCAGACTCTTTGATGATATAGAAGAGAAAGAAAAGAGAAAATGCGTGAGAGACAGAGAGTCAAAAAATTGTCTTGAAATTTTGAGAATCATCTTTCTTGTTCTTTTTTTTCTATTTCTTCTTCTTCTTCTTCTCCTTCTTCGTCTTCTCCTTCTCCTAAGCACAAAGGCTGGTTTGAGGCGGGAGAGAGATAAGATACGAGGATAAAAGAAGGAAGGGGAGAGGGAGGAGGAGAAGGATAATTATGTTAATGAGGAAGACGGCGGGGATAGCAATAAATGAGATGTGAATATGATGATCATTTTCTTAGAATTTTGCATCAAAATACGTCGCTCATGATATTCTGATAATGGTCGTGATCATGATAGTGGCGATGAGGAAGATGGTGATGGTGAGCATAAAGATGATGAGGAGAAGGAGGAAGATGGTGATGATGCTGAGGAGGAGAAGGAGGAAGATGGTGATGATGATGAGGAGGAGGAGAAGGAGGAAGATGGTGATGATGATGATGAAGATGATGATAAGGATGATAATAGTAATAATAATAATAATAATAATAATAATAATAATAATGATAATAATAATAGTAACAATAATAACAATTATAACGGTAATAATAATAATGATAATAAAAATGCTAGTAATGATGTGATAATAATAATTGTATTGATGGTAATGTAATGCAATGATAACATTAGCAATAATAATGATAATAATAATAATAACAACAATAATAATAATGATAATAGTAATAGTAGTACTAGTAGTAGTAGTAGTAATGATGATGATGATGATGATGATGATGATGATGATGATGATGATGATGATGATGTTGATAATGATAATAATAATAATAATAATAATAATAATAATAATAACAATGAAAATGATACTGATAATGATAATGAGACTACTATTACTACTACTAGTATTACTAAAAATAGCAGTAATGTAAGTAACAAAAACAATAATGATACGAATAAGAAATTAAAAAAAAGAAGAGTTGAAAAATAAATTTCTTCATTAATTCTGCTTCCCCTTAATTCAGACCCTGCAAGCTAAATTCCGCCATTTCAGCCTTTCCCTTACATCTGTCACTCAATTGGAGCAATAAATGGATCATATTCGTTAATTAAGACTGCCACTAATCACGAGATAATCGAAATCTGTTAATTACCGTCGCTGGAAAATATATATTTTCGACGTTCGCAAATTTCGCAGTTTCTCTCTCCCCTTCCCCCTTCTCCCCCCCTCTGTCTCCCCCCCCCCCTGTCCTACGCACACCCTTTAATTAGATGTCCAGGACGGAGTGGTTCAACAGACGTGGTTTAATCATAATAATGAAGTGACCACGATCGCCTGTGTATTTTCCAGAGGGCGCTGTGCACCTGACAGGCCCGCGTAGCTGTCATGGTGTGAAGATGTGCGTGTGTGACGGTTTTCGGGTTTGGGTAAGTTGGTGTAAGGGGGGGGGGGGATAGGGAGGGTAGGAGGGAGGGGAGGGGGTGAGATGGAGGGAGGGAGAGTGGGTGGGAAGGAGGGAGTTAGAGAGGGAGGGAGGGAGTGAATAGAGGGAGGGAAGGG